TCGAAAATGGCCACTCATAACTAACAGTGCAGTTGATAGCCACTTCATGTTTGGTTGATAAATTATCTACTGCCATGTGTTACATACTTTTAGTATGTTGGCACTGACAATGAATGTAAGTGTATTTTTAGAGCTCATAAATTGAAATGGAATTTAGTGCGATAGATATAAGAGATATAAGAAACACGACTGGCATATAGATAACAGGATTACTAAGTACTCGAAAGATTTCACTGTTATTCATTGTACGATGATTTAAAATATAAATTTTCATTGGATTTTAGATTAAGAAAAAACACTCGAAAGATACCGGCTATACCTGTCAAGTTCATGGTTTGTTCCTAAATAAGCAGGTGGCACGTCTTCGAAGAATACACTTTTAAATAAACAATATCCGTTCAACTTCTGGCTACGAGTTTTATTTTTTAATAAATCCTCACAGCGGGGTTAAAAGAGAATTTATTACAACAATAGTAATTACAATTCTCAAACCACCTTACACGTCCAGTATTAAGTGTATGGTCAGCGTAGGCGCAAGGGCGTCCTTCCTGACGGGTAATGAGCGTGACGACAGGCCAGGCATAACGATTGAGTTCCTTGCCCCTAACTCAAGCTTTGACTTGACAATTTTATAGGGAATTTAGATATTTGCGTTTTTATATAGCAATTCTAAACTTAAATTGATTTCAAGCAACTGTAAGGAAATGTCAATTGTAATGTGGCCCATAATTAACTTTAACATTTGTCTGGTACTGACTTCTGTTTACCTACCAATTGTAATCTCCATGAATCTATGGATTCCATTCCATTTCAATTTACGTTTTTACATAGTAATTCAGAATTTAAATCAACTCCAAATAACTGTAAGTAGATCACAATTATGAGGTGACACGTAATTGACTCTTATGTACCAAGTATTTATCTAGTATTGACTTTTGCTTACCTACTAAATGTAATCTCCATGGATTCCTTAGTGACATGGGATGTACTGTTTCAAAAAATATTCATACATTGGTTCAAGGTTACATTGTGTTTTACATGATATTACCTATGGTAAGTGCAGGAAGATGTTGTACTTCGGCTACGTCAAGAGGAACGGTAACTACAAATTACTCCAGCTCCAGCAGGATGACATCCAAGACAAAATCGCTGGAACACTAAGTGCTGGTAACTCCTGCTTAACGAGGCAATGGTTCGGCTGCAGTACCACTTCGCCCTTTAGAGCGGCAGCCTTTAAAGTCAGGGTATCCGTGATGTTGTGCAACCTCCGATAGGAGACGAATCCCAAGAAGAAGTAGGCAAGTTTGCGATAGTTCCCCATGCAGTCGTGTTCTACGAAATCCACTAGAATATAATTGGTTTAGTTATTAAGGGTTGATTATTGTATAATACCAAATATACTGACTATTTAATTAGTGTCACTGTATATGTAATAAGTGTACTGTTCGATGTAATAAGTGTACCGAAACAATGACTCTAAAATTGAACTTCGACTGACGCTACTCCGACAATATGTTCTACTACAAAATCACGAACGAAAATTCTGAAGTTTTCGCGGTTTTTTTTTCCAATCAGACACAGATAGATACAAACAAATGCAACAAAACGCCACGATTAGCAGTCTTTGGTAATCATGAGGGTCTTTCGAATGATTTGAGAGCTACGTCGCGCCACTAAAATGGTCCATACACAAAAGCAATAACGCGGATAAATAATATGGCGCCACCGTCAATTCGAATACGGAACTAAAACAGATCGTAGTCATAGAATGCCGAAGTTCAATTTTAGAGTCCGAAACAATACCCCAGCAGTCGCTACAAATCTTTTAAAGTCTTTTTTATACGTTTATTTTAGATTGAAATTCTAGATTTAAATATATTTATTTTTGGCGCCTTTTCTTTGATTTGACATCGTTTTATCTGCTTTTCATGTACGTTTTATTCATAGCTTTAAATAAACTGTATGTACATTTTTTTTGGTCTAGCTTACTCCTGGTTAGCACCCGAACCCCATTTTTACAAGCCACTATTAGGTATATCAGACTACATTACGTTTACAAGCTACTGATATAGATTATCTAAGACATTATTAAAAATTATAATTGTGTAACATGCGAGGCAATTATTACGTACATATTGTTTGAAGAACGTTTAATCATAGCTAGCTCTATGTATTGGACATTTGCAACTTTCCTGCAAATCGTATCTACATCCTAAAACTCTGTCAAGCGTAAAATAAGTAACTTTCTCGAAATTCATACTTTATTATTCGAGTGTATTGATTGATAGTTGCTACACTGTACTTTTCTTTCATTCCATAAAGTGACCAGATCGTAGAGAATTCATGGAAAATAATACCGTTGAAACTGACAGTCCGACTTTGGAGAGTTTGGTCTACATCAGTATTGTGTCTCTTTACCAAGAAAAAACATTTCAAGAATACAAGATATTTGTTATCTGAAAAATGTAGTTCACAAAAAAGGAATTACAGTATATAGTACAAGATTGCACATTTCACCAAAACTTTTTCACAAAACACCAAACGGCAGGCGAATATTATACACATTTCTAATTTCACCTTAGATACAGCATGCATTTAACGTTTTTATACAACAGCATAAATAACAATTAGAATTTAATTATAAATTATAAAAATAGGATGTAAAATATATAACAAATATTAGTTAAATTATATATTTGGCGTTAGCAAATAAAAAGTCATCAATATTTTAGTACCATTGAGTAACTAACAAATTATGCAATTTCATTTTAAATTGTCTACAACTTAATTATTTTACAGCACCCGGGTAATTTATCAAAGAATTTGAGAGCAAATAAAACGTTGTTTGGGCCGTATTTCGTATTTTCTTGTGTTTCCAGAATATCTAGTTTTGACTAAATTAAAGTTGCCTAGATTTTGTTTGACAAATACATAGGCCTAATAAATGTACATTCGGCACCCTATGCATGATCACTTCACAGTGCAACAGAGACTTAGGAGCCGGAAAAGTTTTGTCAAATGTATCGATCCTCTGAGCATTGAGCCGGCTCAGGCGAGGTGCAATCTTTAGCGCGAAAGAGTACCATCTATGTTTGTCCCGCCTTCTGAGAGTCCTCCTCCTGGACATGAATTGCCATGGCCGATCTGGACGTCTTTGAATAGGCTTCGAACTCATATTGGTCGGAGCAAGGTCAATTTGTTTGGGTGGGGATTTTCGGATAGTTCTAACCTGGACTGCTTGTGCGGTGCGACTGAAACGATGGCCCACCTCATATCATGCCTTGCGTGCCCTAATATCTGCACGCTTGAGGATTTAATGGCAGCTACTAGAGACGCGGTTAGCGTGGCTGAGTTCTGGGCCACAATAGTATAATGTATGTCATCGATACGATAAGAAGAAGAAGAAGAAGAATGTACATTGATGGTAGTACGGTATTTAAGTACATTTGTTACTATTCTATAAAGAGGCGACGAGACAAACAAGTCGTGCGCATACTGGTAAACCATACGCTTATCTCTAACAGGTACAGGTGCTTTAAATCGCAAAGATCTGAGAGGCATTGCCACAGTTCCCGTCATCCTGAGACATACGTTGGCAAGTCCCGTGTGCCTGTAATTTCACTAACATCCTTATACTTCAAAACCGAAACACCGAAGTAGGTAAGATGGCAGTATTTCTCTGGATGAATTCTATCACAACGAGCTCTACTGGTACGAAACATTAACTATAACAGTAATAATTAACAGGTAGTTTGACAATCGCTGCTAAGTGCAGCTTTTAAAATAATAATAATGCACACACTCATAGCCCCTAGCAACCCTGTATCGCGGGTTCCATGGACATACATATAAACAAACACAAATTACACTCAAAGGCACGAGAAAAATAAACATAGACCATATTATAAATATTTCTCCCGACCCGGGAATTGAAGCCGGGACCTCTGCGTGGCAGTCCGGCATGGTAACCGTTTGAACACGAAGGCAGTTATACATAGATAAAGTGGGCCTATAGTCCATTTGTTTAGATACTTAACTAACTGTAAACAATCTTGATATGTTTATACCTTCAAACACAAATACTTAGCTGTATATAAAATAGCATGCCTATTTTAATACCTATTGATTTGTAAAGTATGTGTTTCAATAAAAAGATGTATCAAGATTGTTTTCATTTAGTTAACTACCTAGACAAATGGACTATAGGTAGCTTTGAGTGAAGCTTCCTGGTAAACTATTTTAAAAATTAACCATTTTAGTATTTTGTCTTGTATTTTGTCCATCTTAACAATTGCACGAAATGTCTTTTATACGCTACTCGTAGTAAAATATGTATCGCTAAATATTGAGATGCAGGTCAAAACAAAGCTGTCGAGTTGCTAAGAAGAACAAGTACAATTTATTGAGACTGTCCTACTAAAATGGAAATGTCTGTTCAGCCATACTGTAAAACTAGAAGTGTATAATGACAACGGCCGTTATGCTCTTGATCTTGAGGATAGCCATACTGGTCATTATCTAAGTGGGCCTGACGTATACTTGAGTTATACCGCTATACGCTATGATCGTACATAGCGAAAGAAGTGATTGGCAACTTTGCAGTTTTACACAAATTCGTCGTACTCTCTCTATGTGGTCTTATACCTATTTAGAAATATAGTAAGTATATTAAATATACTACGTACTGTCTATCAAAATATGTAAATTTTAAATATACTTATAATATACCTAGAAAATACGAATATCTCTTATACACTTAGAGTATAAATTGGCACCTCAGACACCTATGACATTTCGGACCGTTGTTTCTCGGATTCAGAACGGGATCGGACGTAGTGTGGAGACGCTCTTACTCTTGAAATTTTCTTGTAAAAGTAATTTTACTATGCCGCAGTGGCGATTGCCATCGACATTTATAATCTCTCAGGGACAGGCTTGGTTTAGACAAATAGTTCTACTTGCCAGAGATATTTCTAAAATAGTTTTCAAGTTCCACTTACCTCAGCATGAGTCCAAGCGGCCAGCGCCTTGGGCGGGGTATCAGGAGCGACGGCTCCAAGTCTGCCCTTCTTCCTCGCGTCCTGCAGTATCGGCACCTTTGAGTTCTTGTCGCTAGACGACAGGATCACCTCGCGTTCAATCTGTTGTTAAGGAAATAAAAAATAATCGGAATAGCAGTCATAGATGACAATCAATGTATACCCATTTTTCTTTTTTATTTGGGAATTATAAATGAACAGTTATTGTATTAAGTCACAATATTACATACATAATTAGTACGGGTGTCTTTAAGGCTCAAAATAATGGATCAACAAAAAATCGTTTCTATTCCGTTCCGCCGCAATATAAATTGAACCTTAGGGAGGTTGCTGAGCCAAAGTTTACCCAAGTGGATGGGAAACTTCACTTATTAGAAGATTTTTGTGGTTTTCCTAAATGCAAGTTACCTCGCGGTGTGTTCCTTTGCAAGACACTGAATTCTGCTGCTTACACGCCAAGAATATTCAACAAAAAGAACATTAAAAAAATGTTAATGGAAACTGCATTAACCATCAATGACTGCCTATCTTCAATGCACGTCACAAAGAACTGATAAATGCGCCAACAATGAACACTTTCGCTGCGATGATGCTGCAAAAACTATGCGCACACACACGTTTCTATGGATTTCTATCTGGTAGACTGGCCTATTGGAAGTTGTTCATCACTGTTATTTACTGTTGGATTAGACATTTATATGATAAATGTTAGATTAAAAGCCAAGAGACATGTGATGAAGGAAACATCATGTCCATTTACGAAATTGTATGTGAAATTTCTAAACCTGCGAAATGCCATGCAAAGTTGTAGACGACTGTACATAATTGACGGTTCCCCGCTCTTTTCTTTGATCAATTCAATGATAACTTACAGGAAACTTGGCGGAGTGCGTGTGGAGTGCAGGCGGCGCGGGAGCACCGGGCAGCGCGGCGTCCGGCGCCGGCGGCATCCTGTACGGCGGACCGCTCTCGCCCACACCTGCAAAGACGGAAAACGTATCAAAATATGGAATTTATTTACGACAATACAATATGGCAGATGATCATAATAAGATTTTTATTTGGATATCAACATTGTAGGTAAAATAAATTCGCATAATACTGACCGGCACTAATCTATTGCCCAAAAAAGTGATGGGTTTGGGTATGTATTGGATCAACGAATAAATCCAGCATCGCTCTTTGGCCATTGTCGTTTTTTTATAATATCAAGTGACGGGACGAACAAGTCGTGCGCGTGGTGGTAACCGACAGACCTGTCCATAACAGTTGCAGTGCCACTCAGAGCTTTAAATTGCAAAAATCTGAGGGTACTACCACTGCGTCTGTCACCATGAGACATGACAAGTCCCATGTGCCTGTAATTTCACAAGCACCCTTCAGAAATAAGAAAGGTGGCAGTACTTATCTGGACGAATTCTTTTACTAGGAGCTCTACTGGTACTATAACAGACTGACTTGGCGACGTCATCAGCTAACAGATTATGATGCATGATTATGCATCATATTAATAACAGCGATAGAAAGATTGTTAAAAATTGTTCATTGTAAACAATGTCATTTAAAAAATGAAATGTAATTAATTCAGTCAATACGAATCGGAAGATTCACACGATAAAGATTTGCTCGTGCTACGGTAGCGTCTGTTAATGCAACATTCATCACATAAGCTCGAGGAAGGAAGCAATAACTTATGATTAAGCTTTTACAAGACGAAAACTCTCATAATGCAATTTTACACAATTTTCTCACAAAGAATGACACATGCTATAATACGGATGTGTTATTTTCTCATAGTTTGTAGTGAGTATAAAGGATAAGCGAGTAGCGATACAATCTACACATATATTTACCAGCAGGAGTTTTTCATCTAAGCTTCAAGTATAATACATAGAGTCGATAATACCTCCCTCCTAAATTCCGGAATGAGAAAAATTAGAGTAAAATCGGGGTAGATGACCATAGGGGGCAGATGACGAATCGCAATATTTCATTGATCCGCTAACTGGATGGCGATAGTTATTGCTCAGTTCGCATCGTGTGGTGTCAAAGTGCAAGTGTACGTCAAATATTCTGAACAAAAAAAAAGAAAAATAGGTAAGGCCTTGTTAATTGTTTTGACAAATGCTAAAATGTTTTAGAGGGTTCATGTTTTACACTACAATGACGTAATATTTTCATAAAGAAACCGACATCAAAAACACGTGGAATTACGTCTATTTGCTAAGTTTTATTGAAATATACCCTAGTTCGCCACTATACAGGACTTGACACTGGAGATAATAAAAATCGGTTCTCACTACTCAAAGTATATTGAGAGAAAAACGCCTTGAATTGGAGAAATAGCAAAATCAACCATTAAAGTAATTGCTCCTAAATTAAAATTAGGCGCTATTTATAAAAATGAATTTTCTTGCGTGACACAGCCACCCACCGAGGTAGATGATTTGCTTCAAAATGAAATGGGACGACTGTGGAAGTACCCCCTATCAAACAAAAAAGATACAAAAAAAATTTTAAAAAAACATACAGTCGAATTGAGAACCTCCTCCTTTTTTGAAGTCGGTTAAAAATGTGGATTATTTGTGTATTTATTTCTTAGACCACATCCAATGCTTTGTTATAAGCTCAGAATTTCACATGTCGTGTTTTTTCTTGTTTAAATTTTAAGTGTGGCCACCTCTCTCAGAATATTAGGACAGATAGCCAATAAAAATTGGTGTAAGATGGCCATATCACTAACTTATACCAATCATACACAGGCCATTAAAGTTGCTGCTGCTATGAAACCCCCTCATCGAAGACTGGCTCCAATGCGTCGTGTGCCACTTTTGGGTTCACGAAAACTGAGAAACACGAAGAAAAAAGAAGGCTTAGAAAACAAAACACCACATAAAAGACCTATCTAAGTCTAAAAATAATTACTGGTCATCTTACCCATAGTCCTATGGTCATCACACCCGGACACGTCGGAAGAAATGGCCAATCGTAATTTTTTATTAAACTAATTTTAAGGTTGATCCCAAGACAATTTGTTCTTTTTACAGTTAAATAAGTAATAGTTAATTGTTCAAAGTTTAATAACAAAAAAGTTTGCAATGTAATATCTAAAATTTTATTTTGACAGCGTTTAGAAAAAACTATCGCCATCTACCCCGGTTTTACCCTAATATGCTAGAAATATAAATAAAATAGTTATAGTAAAAAATATTTTATTTATTTATTTATTGCAAAAGTACTAACTATTTCGATCTTTGCTAATAAGAAGAAAACATGCTTATTCCACGTATACAGATATTTATAACGAAAAAGATCTGAGATCTTTGCGATTTAAAGCTCTGAGTGGCACAGCAACTGTTATAGACAGGCGTGTTGCTTACCATCTGGCGCACGACTTGTTTGTCTCATCACTTGATATTATAAAAAAAATAGACATAGGAGGCTTAAAGTACTTAGACACAAAATTAATTGGAAAGTGTATTGTTCCATTATGGAAGAGTTGGCTCCAAAATATGTGTGTTAGGTTCATCTTCGGACTACGTAAATTTGATTATGTCTCCCAATTTCGCGCACAACTTAAATGGCTGCCCATCCATCGGCGTAGAGATCTTCATATCCTTTCACTTCTCTATTCAATTCTGTTGTATCCCTTTACGTCTTCTTATCTTAAAGATCGCTTTACTTTCCACTCTTCTACACTCTGTCGTCCCTTTCGCTCCTCTGATACTCTCTTATTAAACTTGCCCTCTCATACCTCTAACTTTTATTCTAACTCTTTTACCATTTCTGCGATCAGATTGTGGAATTCTCTTCCTGAATCGATTCGACGATCCCCTTCTCTTGATTCCTTCAAACAACGTGTCAAGGATCACTTCCTCAACTCCTAAATTTCGTCTGTCCTCTACTATCCTTTCATTTATTTCCTACATTTATACTTCATTTTTCTTTTTACTTTAAAAGTATATAATCATTTAATATTATTGTGTATTTATTGTTATGTATGTATTAATAATATTATTATTATTTGTATGTATATGCATATCTATCTACGGATATGTATATATTTTTATTATTACTTATTATGTTGTGTACTTATGATGATATTCTTTGGTTGCACCCCTTTTTGCATATCCGAAATGTCTATCCTAAGGTTGCCTGGAAGAAATTGCTACATAGTAATAAGGCCGCTTGTTGCACATTGACTTACTACTACTATTATACTTAAGCTATTTTATTATATTTTAATTGTAATTTTATCTGCAATAAAGAAAATTTCATTCATTCATTCATTCAAGAGTTGAAAAGACGGAAAAAATACATTACAATGATTTCGGGATTTCAGATGTAGGTATTATGTACTCTATGCGTATAACTTATTACCTTGATATTTAGGTAAATACTATTTCGACCTCTACTAATAAGAAGAAAACGTGCTTATTCCACGATACAGATATTTATAACGAAAGGGTAAACGGCGTAATATGTACTCATTTCAGTACCGCGATGAGGCAAAAGTATGGAATAATTACGTACAGGACCGCACTGGCGAGACCAAAATCGGCTCAGTGGGGAACGCAGTATTTAGTGTAGGTTAGAAAACTCGTTACCTCGTCGCTTGATATTGATAGAATACCGATATCGATTTGTGAAATGGAGATACAAACCCGTAAACGTCCTATAAGCAATTTTGTATTTACATTTCAATTAATACGTAAAGATTTAATATATATATAATTTGTATTCCGAATATCTGACTGTTATATAGTTTGTAATTGACATTGCAAACACTTTCGTGGTGTCCGGGTAGTGGTAATGATTGTATTTAGTAGTTTAAGCAAACGAGGTCCAAATACAGTATTCTGCATTTTCAATGCACCCCACGAAAGATTTTGTATTTCATACTTTAAAAACATATTAGAAAGTACATTTGCATATTCTATGTTGTCGCCAAGGCGCCTAATTGGAGTATATATATATATATATATATATATATATATATATATATATATATATAAATTGCTAATTTTCTGCTTTTTTCGCGGGAAATTCTTTACGGTGGCCATTTTGAAACTCCTAATTGTTTTTTGTCTGCAATAAAGGACATTTTATTAATTAACGAGGCGAATTTTACTTTAGGAAATATTGTAGTAACACACTAACCTGATGCGATATAAGATGCTACAATTATTACGTGATAATGTAACTACCTACATGATATTTATTGTTTATTGCAAGTCGGTCAATAAACAATCAATATTGAGTGAAATGTGAAACTCTCAGTAGAATTATAGGAGACTTAAAATATAAAAATATCCATCATAAAGGAGTTGTTTTTTCACCTTTAAAAATATGCCTCAATCGCCTTCCTCTTGTATTTTAAAGCTAAGTTAAGAGCTAATCACGAAGATGTCTTTCATTTCCTGTCTACAAACTGCCTCGACAGCGCCTATAGATAGCTACTTTGCCATTTTTTTATATTAACAAATCAACACCATTATTATGTAGGTGCATGCGAATTATATGAGAAGAGAGTAACTTTTTATTGCCGTTCTATCTACATGTGTTGTAAGATATATTATAGAGTCCTTATTATCTCCATTAAGAGCAGCTAAACTAAGAGAAAATTACAATAGAAGTTGTTAATTAAACAAAAACGAAATGTTAAACTTAAAGGCACTGAAATTATCAGTTGTTACTGATTTCACTGCACAAATGCCTTGTTTATTTATTTATTCCATATTGAATATAATTTACGACTTTACCTACTTCTCTCGGAAAAGATTTTTCTTTGAAGAAGTAAGAAGAATCTTCGTAGCCATCGCTAATCTCATGTGGTATCCTACCGCCATTGCCGTAGCCCGTTCGGTGTGTCGTCGGTGTTCATCTCTGAAGAGATGAAGAGAGACACTCTACGCGCATCCGCGTGGACGAGAGTCGCGTCGTATGGTGTTGCTGCGGAGCCTACCTACAGATGCGCCG